AGACCATGTGTTACGTTGTATTAAAGATTCAGTAGTTTGAAGATTCTAGCTCTGTGCTAATTCTATTATCTTATGTCACCGTAATTGTTAAATCACTGCATCATGTCATCAGCCACGTTATTTATATTTTTGGTAGGCTGGGTTTTGGAATTCAACAAGAAGTAAAAATTGATCCATACTCTACTCAAAACCCCAACAAATTTATTACGGTTCTTAACTGAGCATTACCAGTTGAACATGGGGATTATGGTGTATTTTTACGAAAAAATATACTTTAATACTTTCGTTCTTATGAAATGGTGACCAGAATGTAGGAATTTGAAAGCCAAGTATGAATGGAGATAGTGTGGTATGAGTGGCGCGATCTTGTAGTCTTGTTAGTGACTAAGGCCGACATGTTCCTTAGACACAGCTAATAGTCCATTATTAATAGTCCATACAGCCAAGCGCAACTAAGGGGCCTACAGTTTATAGTGGAATCCGAACCACATTTTTGCCTTATAACTAACGAATTGTATAATTATCAGGATAGTACTGCGGATAGTCGTAGTACTCACTAGTGTGGACATTAATCCACACCAGGGAGTATCGCATCAACAGTGCATGCCTATAAATATCCATAATTTGTAGCCTCCTAGTAGCTTGATTAGACGACGACGCCGTCCAATTGATCTTGCAGCCTACGTTCAACCTAATTAAACGTGTTCAACAACACGAGTACCGTTGTTGTTACCAACAGCATGGTCCAGCTTAGTCATTCTGTAGGTAATTAATTGTTTCGCTGTTTAGAACCTTACTATTGCATAAACATTATGTAATCAGCCATGCAGCCCGAGTATCTAAAGTCTACATTCCAAATTCTCACAGTTGCGGAAACTTTGCGTTTAATACCAGACGGTATTTACAAAACAGTTGATAATTTACAAAATAGTAAATAACTGCCCGACGATAACAATATAAATGAGTTGTAGAAAGAGGCGAGATAAAATGTTGAACTTTCTCCAATACACATAACACTACAACGCATTTTATTGCCATAATTGGTTATCTTAATTATAAAGCTGAGATCACCATGGCGTGCAGTCCAACAATTTGCTTGGTAATCATTTAGGCTACAAGTTCATGTTGCAAAATCTGTCCATTGTAAAATACAACGTGTCAATACATGTGAACGTGCATGGCATCCGGTTGAGATTGGTTTAGAAATCAATGACGAAAATGTTCCCTAGGTAGCAGAGTGATTATAGCACTCTCAATCTGAAGGTTGGCGGTTCGATCCTGTATTCTGACACTATTACTTATTGGGTAATATATTAGTAACAAGGCTACAGTGTGGACCGTCCCTTCACAAGGAAACGTTTTAAAACGCTAAAGACAGAATATCGCACGGACAAAAATTGTATTTAGTGGCCTTGTACCAGAGTGTAAACTGTTGCGCGGAATTTTTGTCTATGCAACTATTAAAATATACTAAATAAACTATAAGATATGTATGATAATATACTTCGAACTTCGTAGGTATTTAACTTAAGGTGATAAAACTTAAAACTTAAGGCCTAAATATAAAGCTAAACAAATTTTGGTACTTAAAGTAAGGTCATCACGTTCAATAGCATTCTGTAATATTGAAATGAATGGAGTATTTGTAGGAGCATTAAGTATTGTAAAACCACGTAGTATAACAGCCAATTGTCTTCTATTTTTACCAAGGAGGTAGTATAAAATGATTGCTAAGACTTTACCCTTGAAACTGAGGTGAGGATATCTTAATCCTTAGGTTTAAGTGGTTGTGTTATCGTTAGGTTTTTGGCTAGTATCATTGTTGAAGAGTTTCTTTAACCCGAAAATACAACAGCTTGCAAGGTGTAGGGGTTTATGAACTACTTCCTCATGTGGTTTCGCAGATCTAGATCAGCGGTGCAAGTTTTACCTCTGGATGAAGTAGATCGCGCGCCTTTAGTACAATTAATTCCTACCGATAACAAACTTGTCAAAGGTTTCTACTACGTTACCAACAGAAATACCTATCATATAATTGTACTTGTACTAGCTATCATATACTTATAAATGTACTTTTCCAGATTACCTCAACTACATCAGATAATCATTAGTTAAGTAGCTTTAGCATCCTGGTTGTTCTAAAAAATCATTCCATTCTTGTCTCTTGTTTGGTGCCAGAAAAATATGGTGATGTTTTAGATAAATATCCTCCAATGGTGATTCCTTCAAATACAGTAAAATGAGTTGTCAGTAAATTAAGGTGAGGGATGTAGTTCAAATCTAAGACCAAAGTAGATTTTTTACTTTGTCAACTACTATTCTACCTGGTTCCCAGACTTGTACAACGATTAATCTCACCATAGATATTATTGGGGGAGCGAGCTGGTCTAGTGGTTAGAGCGCGGAACTTCGTTGACTGAGCTCCCGGGTTCGAATCCCGCCAAATAACCAATGGATAATATCTAATTGATAATGCCGCAACCCCTAGTATGTGAAAAACAATCCCAGGCTACTGACTAGCGTCCTAGGACAAAGAAAAACCATATATATTACTGTATAAATTTTCAAAAAAGTCATTGTAACTACAAAAGCATTAAACATAAAAATAGAATAGTTAAATAAAAATGTCCACTTCTCAATTAGCGAGAATATAATTTGTAATGAGCTCTTTCTGTTATTAAATTACATTACAGACGAACATGAAAATTTTACATTTACCAAGTACCTCCAGGGTACATAACACGTTACATGCTACTTGTTACAAGTAACAGGTTGGTTGCAATGGTTATTTATTATGTGTTGTAACAAAGAAAAAATAGCGTATCTAGCTCGGCAGTGGGTGAAACATATCTCTGTCTGCTTTAAAATGTCGCATTTCAGCGTATTTAATTATGTTATTTTTAATTAGCATATGGTATTTTTAGTAAAGTTGTAGTCAAGTACAAATTTAACTACTCTTTTCGTATATGTTTTTGGAAATGTAGTGGTGTGAAATATTATTATTAAAATTGACGTGTATGTTAAAATTATTTCTAGATTTGTTTGTTGTTCTGCAATAAAATATTTGATATGTTTAACCATCCTGTATTATAACTGCTTATTTAATATTCCGCTTTTGTATATGTATACTTATTAATTCAAACCTGATTATCATTCAGTTTTTATATAAGCTTGGCTGTTCATAAATTGGTTGAAAAATCCACTTTTTGATATATAGATTTTCAGTGATATTATAGAATAAAATCAATTTAATAGTTTCAGCGACAAAGCTGGTGGGCAAGAGATACGAGAAACCACACCTTACACGCACGTCGACTTAATAATATAAATAGTTGGCCACAATAAGTCACAATACAATAATAACAATAATAATACACAATAACAGTAATAATACACAATAACAGTAATAATACACAATAAGTCTGTATCACCAAACAAACTGCCAATCTAAAAATTGTGATTGTCCTGTTATTGAGCAAGTAGAGGAAATTAAATATAATGTATAATATTTAATATAAATATTACCCATGGTTAATCTTAGACTCAAAGATAAACTGGAATTGCCATATAAATTATGTTAAGAATAAAATAATAATAAAATACTAAAGGATATTTTATATGTTTTAAAGTAAGTGTAATCATCGCCTACTCAGAAATATTTATCATGCGATGATAAATTTTAAATTGGAGCATGGCTTAGCTATCTATGGAGGAGCTTACCTTTCGTCAATTAAGCCATGCAAAAATCCTTTATAAGGATAATTAGTAACAAATGTAGAACAGAACATGCAGCACCACTATTTAAAAAGTTAGAAATTTTGCTTTTGAAAAATCTATATATGTATAAAGTTTTATGAATATTTTATAAAAGAAGTGCAGATGAGGTTGAAACTATGTCTGAAAGGAGAATAACATTAAGAAATAGGTACAACGCAATAGTTCCAAAACCAAATTTAATAGCTTTCAAGTATTTTTATTTATACCTTGCACCCAAAATGTTTAATGCATCATTACCTACCATTCAATGCTACCATTCAATCTCAAAACCATCTCAGAAGCAGATTTTTCTAGGCAGCTGTGGCCTTATTTATTAGGCTTGGAAAATGCTGAAATGTACTTTTATAGAATTTATATAGATAATATGGAAGTGACTAATATAGATAATAATTAATATTAATGCTTTTACTCTTTTGTGCCATTTTTGTTTGTAAGTGTAACGAGTTTTACTCTGTGATGACGAAGATCACTGTGTAGAACTCACACTCACTGCATATTATAACCAAGTGATATAAGTGACCCGACAAAATCACATCTTCGATATTTTAGAACTCAAGAAAGTGTGTAAATCCACCAACATAGGTCTTATACCTAAGGTGGTTATTGTTTTGTTGTGTGTAAATATATTTTTATGTTTGTTTGTTGTATTGATAAAACAATAAAGATAAACAAAATGCTCTTTGGTAAATTGAAGAGGCGCTTACTCAATTGGCTTGATATTTATGTATTTTATTTTGAAATATATAATTTATACTCATAAACTTTTAGTCTCTAACAACTCAATGTAGTAGGTTAATAATCCTAACACTTTTTGATGCACAATGTAGAAATATTGAATGAATTAAAGTTAAATAAATAAATAAAATTTAAAACTGTTGATCTTTTCAATTATTACAGTACAAGAAATAATACATCTGAATTACATCGATAACGTTCAATTACATAATTTTATCACATCAGATATACCAAGCTAAAGTAAAACTCCATGCTTGACTAAAATCAATCTTATAATTTAAACACCAGCGAGGTGCAACTCATAAGAGATTGTACAAGATTAATTTGAATATTCCAGGTATTTGTACAGATACAACTTGCAGAGGATTCTAGATGTGATATAATGTAATCAAAACAATAATGATTCATAGAGGAATGCCTTGGGCCAGGAAGTCACTGCAGGGACAGGGTGTCTGCGCATGCGCGGCATGGGGCCAGTGTGTGGCACACGCCGTATAAAACATAAAGGCATCTCAACCCCTCCACTACTGTGCGAGTGTTGCAGCTTTAGAACGGACCATGGGTTATATTGTGAGTAAAGTTTATATTATACTTTATAGAATATCAGTTTTCACCTATGATTGAGAGATTTTTTATAGATGATTTTTGTTTGATTAGGGTTAAAGTAATATTCGTGGTACATTAAGACGACGAAACCATTAACGTTAAATACCACAATTACGCTTCTTATATTTCACTATCTGAGAGACCTGGTTAAATGTGTTTCGTGTTGGTTACGTTTTAATGTTTATATATTGACTAAAATGTATCCCTCTCATTTATGTTAGATTCTACATACTTTACAACTAAGATAGACTTTAAATTTTGTTTATAATACGATAGGAAAGACAGAAAGTATGGACAATAATAACCATGCACTCTTCCTAAACGCATTAAAAGATAGAGAAATACAATTTAACAATTTATTGTAAATATAAAAATTGACTCTATTGTTTTAAGAGTATACAGAACATCGAAATTGTCTCCATCTGATAAAAAAAAGTATGACACTCCTAAAAGAGAGTGTGTTTCTTGTGTGGTTAAATTGATTACTAAGATTTTGAGCAGACTCAGCAGAAATAGGTTTTATACTGGATACATATAGTTTACATGTTAGATAGTCTATGTATCCGAGAGTCTAGACTGTATTAAACGTTAATATTTGATGGTTCGAAACTGGAACCAGTTATCGTTATTCGTTGGGCTTTTAATAAATGGCCCTGGCTAAAGAACCAATTGAATTTTGTCAGTAACAATTCATTTCACTACATTCTAAACTCCATTATACACTCACGGAGCCTTCATATTTTAGTCACTGTTGTGTTGCTTCAAGATTAGAAATTTTCAAGTAAACCTTAGAACAAATATTTTAGAAAACTCATTACCATCTATAACAACAACATGAAAAACCGTGAGCAAAAGCTAGTGTCAATACTTTAAATATTTTACCTAATAACACAGGAAAACGTGTTATATGTGACGAAATAAAAAGTATTTCACTCTAGTAGTTCACATCATTCACATAACACAGTTTGCGTTTAAATACTGACCTTTTACTGGACAACAGATTTTTATAAACTTTTTTTATTGTTTAAATATATTACTTAAATAATTTGAACGTTGTTTTGCTGTGTTCATGATTTTCATAAATATTGTAGACACGAGGGAAATCAGGCCATAAGACAACCTAAAACGAGTTTAAAAACGTTTTATATAAAAACTGTTTGCGGGGTAGGGTTTTCCTGACCTCTGGAAGAAGGTACGGGTTTTGTACGGGTTTGCCCGTTGAAAACTTCCTACACCGCCTTGACTACCTGTCTGCTGTAACAAAATATCTGACTCAGATTAACCAAGCTCCCAAAATCTGAATTTGAATCGGCGTGCACTCTGGACGTACCGTAAGGCATGCCTTCTTCGGTCTTACAACACAAAAGAAGGGCCTTGACAGGCGTTAAATGCACGAGGAGGCGGCATGAATAAGTGACCTTTGACCGATGTTATCTCCCTTATCACTGACAGGGAGCGGATTCCTACAACGGGTCCCCCAGACTGCAACGATAACAAAACATGTTCATGACCTATAACCTTCTTCATGATCAAGAAGCTAGCTATTAAACTAGGTGTAAAAAACATTGACAGGTGATGATAATGATGAAAAAATTGAACAAGTTCCTTAACAGATATGAACACTGCACTGAAACCTGTTGTGCTCTGTATACAAAGATATACTTGTTTATTAGGCAAACTCGACCGGTACATATTCATAAATAAGCAAACTACGAGAATTTATTTATTCTCCAAAAGAATACAATAACAGTTTTTTAATCATCTCCATAACCACTTAAATGTACTAAATTGTTAATTTTAAAGCGATATTTATGTTTTAGGGGCCTAAAACACAAATATGATCCCATAAAGCCTCCCATTAAAAATGTTCCCACAGTCCGATTGTTCTGGTTCGCGGGAATTCGTTCAAAGAATAATGTAGGTATTCACGTTTGTACAATTTTTTTTAATCTGACGATTTTTTTTTATATAGGCCTATACAAAGAGATTTACAGAAATAGCTAATTATATGTAAAAAGTAAAAAAAAAACGTTTGTGTTAGGTTTTAGTATAGGATTAGAATAGTCATGTCTGTCTCAAATGCTTGATGGAATTGCACTTATTAATCACAGGTTACCATTATTTTTAATAGAAACATTTGAACAGATATATTGGTAGGAAATACTCCCTCAAAGAAAATCATTAGCCATGAAAATTTGAAGGTAGATGATTTATTTTTTATAACAAGTACAAGAATTATATATTTTATTGTGATATTCATAAATCATAAGTTTTGACTATTTCTCTGAAGAGTACAAAATCAATTCGCAGAAATAATTAACAACATTCATTAAATGTAAACATCAAAAGCATTTCCCCGATGTACAATATTAATTTGTTCATATTGTCCTTTTGATCAAATTCCAATGACAGGTGAACTAGAGAACAGTTTTCACAGTACGACTATTTTCTATAATGATAACAGCCAGTGAAGATATGTGATTAAAATTGTAACATTCGTACAACCCTCCACACTTTTTATAAGTCTTATATGGACTAATAATGTTAAAGTTGAAAATACAGATTAGACATTTTTACGCTTTAAATTTTCTACTTTATTTTTTAACAGCATTAGAAAAATTTAAAACTTAATTTAAAAGTATTTAACAAAAAATACCACAATAATTTAAATACTGCAATATTTTTATACTTATTTCAGTTGGCAACGTTTCATCCGTACTACCGAAACACATTTTTATTCATAGAACCCACTGTCATTTACTTTTAGTACCGATTTCCTGTTATAACATATTAAGAACAGTGAACAAATTGTGTGAATAGGTTACTTTGCATACCTCTTGAACTGCTAGACAAGGTATGTATGTAATAGTTTAGCAAATGGTATGTCTAAAAAGTAAAGACTTAACTCTCACTGAGCAAACAAGGTTCTTGAATCTGCTATCATCTACACCAGAATCTAGCTGATGTCTTTTAAATTGTAAATTTAACTTATAGATATAATAAGTTGATAGCAAAGGTCTAGTGACGTCAGTTCTCTCTCATACAGCCTCCACGTCTGACAGAGTGCCCCATGGGAACGTAGCAGATATTTTTTGTTTTTAAAATGTTTTTGCTCAGTGAGATTCTAGGTTAGGTCTTTATTCCGAACCACTGCTCAGTCAAAGATTGTTCATTTCTCCTGTTGATTGCCTTCATTTTCTCACGTTTTCTTGTTATTTGTTTCTGCAGACGTGTGCTTTAGTCCTCCTGCTGGTGGTGCTTACGTCATCAGTCCTTGCATATCCTTGGTCAGACAGCGGCGTGCCATCCTCTCTCCACCGCACTGAATGTGACACAAGTGTGAGTACATCCTAGCAATAGTTAACAAAAACAATAACAACAGCTATCTACTATCTTACTAGTATAAAGAAGAGATGGTGTCTGTCTGTCAGTCAGTCTGTGTGTGTGTTTGTATGAGATAAACTAAAAACTACTGAACCAACTGTGCTCAAATTGGACAAAAATAAAGCTACAGCTCCAAGGATACATATAGAACAATTCCCGCTTCGATATTGACATAAGGATATCATGAATATAAAATAATGATGTCACTCACCCGAACGTAAACATTATCTAACATTACTTAAATGGAGCTGTCAAACCATAAGCTAATGTCATTTCATTTGTATAGGATTCTTTCAGTCACTTCATTTGTTTATGCTTATTGTTTATGATCTATACTGAGTCTGTTCTAATATTTGTGAAATGCTGTAATAATGTTTTACAGGGAGTAGTTCATTCTAAAAGATTCTATAATCAATGCCATGTCAACCTAGGCTCTTATCTTGAGTTTTATGAAAATTATATTGTAGATATATTCATGTGTAAACAGTAATATGGTAGTATATGTACTCTACCTATGCCACAGCAAACCTGCAGACTATGCGAATTTCCATTTGCCTCATTATAATTTCACTAAAATATGTAGGAAATTACACTAAAAACAGGTTTGGAACTATTGTGATAGCTTTTCGTTTACAATACAAACCATTCAAAATGTTATTTGATTATACCTTAAAATCTATCATTGATATTGTATCCTATGTTGCCTAAATAAGTGTTCATAGTCTTATTTAACAAACACATACTATTATCAAGTAATACTGTTCAATTTCCTTTGTAAATTAAATGGTTGGAGTAAAGCCGTTTTAAGAAATTTTCAAAGAACCAACATTGTCTCTTTTGCATACTAATCCCGTTGCAAGACACGGGTATAGCTACTATTTTTAGTAATCAATAAAAACATGCATAGCTTGAAATAAATCCAACTGATCTGTATATCTTGGCCTACTTTAAATTGAAATATTTGATTATGTTCCCTTGATTTTCGAATCACAATACAAATTATCATATACGTTACGTTTTCATAACCGATGTAGGCCTAGCTTTTGATACTTCAAACATGTTCTGACTTCTTGGCATTGACATTGTAATCTTTTATGATTAGGATTATGAAATTAATATAATAGATCAAGATCTTTAAAAAAAATAAACAGAAATCTCAAAAAAATATACAAAGCTGGTAAACAAGTTATGTAAGACTGGACAAATAAGTGGCGAAATGTGTTATTATATTGATGGGCGGCCCTGCTCCCACAAGACCACAGTCCAAAGTTGGTGATTGTGGGTGATTTTTAACATTCCGAGATTGACCTTACCCATTTCTTCACAGAAATCGATCAAATTGACATGACAAAATTTATTGTCCCAGTATCAGCGCTAGGATAACATTGAGTTAGTGTTATCCTGTAAAACTGTTGTACCTGAGATTCACTTCATGAATACAGACATTTTTATATATTACTTATTTTTTGACAAAAATTTCATTTCTCTTCATATTGCCTGTTTTAGTTCTTACAGTTTTAAGAGAGCTAAAATAGTGCTACATACAACATACGAAGGTTCTTTCTTTGATGTTCAAATTTATTGAGTTCCTGCGATTGTTTTCTTCAATTTAAAAAGTATAAAACTGAAAGTCACGAGTATTTATCAAATTTTGTTATATGAAACTCCTAGATTTCTCATTTTATTACACTATTGTTCTAAAGAATTAGCAAAATCTTAAGAAAAGAAAGAGTTGCTAGGATCCGAGTTTTTAATATGGTCTATTATTAGTTTTCATGACAAGTATTTTTTTAGTATTTTATGATCTTATATTACTATTTTATGGTTTTCATTTGGGTTTTGTAGGAAATAAATAGTTAACGCTTTTAAAACCTAACCTGTATTAAGGCTAGTAAATGTAAATGAATATTCTAAAGTCTCGACTTGTACAACGACTATTTTGGATTCAAATACTTTTACCACTCATCTCGCGATGTAGTTAGTTATGAACTTTGTTGATCAAAGTCTTCTCACAATCGTAGGAGGTATAGGTCACTTGATATGACAGTAATCGTGCATACAAGTGATCCGGGACAACCTTGAATGATCAGTTGTTTGAGAAAATGATAAACTGGTAAAAACACACAATATAATAATGATTCCTTGAAATCTGCTCTGCAAAAGGTTTCCACATAGATTGTCAGGGACTTATGAGTTTTTAAGTAGGAAATATCTGACAAGAAATAAGATAAAACATTCATTTGTTAAGAATGGCAGCCCAATAAATATATCTTTGTATAATTTTGTACATAGTAAATGCATTTTTGTAAAAGTTGAAAGTTGATTCAAAAAGTAGAATATTGCTACAAACAATAAATGAAAAAATAGTGTAATAGTTATTTTGTATGTTGTAGGATGACGTTCAAACATTATGCCAGAGGTGTGCGAAGTCTACAAAGTCTAACATCGTCTATCCAATGTGCTGTCGGGACCGTGAAGAGGCAAGAAATTGGTGTTCCCATTATTTGGCTTTTGGAATACAAGGAGAATAAAGAAAATGGGCTCTATACCACTGCCTTGAAGGATACCTTTCGTCTTTGTTGCAGATTGTCCACGCCGAGCTGAATGTTATCTTACAAGGCTCAACTTAATGTGAACTTTAAAAACAAGTTCACACTTAACATCTATGACAATAAGAAATCATAATACGTGTAGATGTGATATTTTGATAGTAGTTTGAACTACTTGTATGGTGAGAGAAAACAGTTTTGTATCAATTAAGATGCGGTAGATAAAACCAATACGTACAAAGTTAGGTTGTGAAAGTCTGAGTGTTAGTATTATGTAGCTTTACCTTTCTCAGAACAATCGAAGTTATTACTCAATACAATTTACTGAACGTAGATTCGATTGCCCAGCTTACTTACTTCAAATGTAAAAGTATGAATGAATTAGATTTAGTTTTAAGATTAAGTTATACATTAACTGAGTGGTTTTAACTGCTAATGCTTTGTTTAAAAAGAAGAGTTTTTAATGTTATTTAATTTTAAACACGATTTCAAATAGAGCAAAGTTGTGAAATTAGTTTTGGCTATTCCGCAAACATCGATTAGGATTTAAAAATCCAGTTCTTGTACTAAAAAAGAACAGGAAAAGTAAAATGTTTACAATGTAAGACATACCTAATATCTATTGAATTCTGTCGTATAAAGTTGGTTTGTATTTTTTAACAGCTGTTTCTTGTGCTATGAATAAAACCACTCGGTTAGTTAGAATGTGATATTGATGTAAAATTGTGTATTTTTAGTGTTTTTGGTTAGTGGTTTCGTGTGTTTAGTGAAACAATCATATGACAAAATATTATCAAATATAATCGGCTTTTTACTCTGGATTGATACTTATTATTTATAGCTATTTATATAGTATTGCTACCCTGAAAATAATGTAAATAAACTAACAATTATATGCAAATAATATTACTACAGCGCAATACTAACAAAATAGTTTCACTAAAGACAGAAATGAAATGAAATAATATGCGGGTTTTTATATTCTGTGTTTGAGCTAATACAAATAACATGGCTGTGATCGTTAATATGTGTTAATTACTTAATTACGCCAGTGTATGTTTCAGTCAATTATTTATAACACTATTTATTATTGTTATGTATACTATATTTTTGTACCAAACAGAGCATGTTATTTATCTTAATGATGAAAAAATATATATCGTTGAAAAATAATATAACAAATTATTTACCCACCAATAGTAAATTTAGTTCAAGGGTGTATTCTGATCATTTATGACAGTAGTATACCGCTAAAATAATCCAATATCTAAGTTGCCAACACGATATACTAAATGAAGAGATTATGGACAGTTTAATTTACAATTCATACATAATATTAACTTGTGTAGCGTGCCTTTATTTCAATCATGTCATAGATAAAACGAGCTTAAAAATAATATCAAGTTTTAAACAGTTTTGGAAAATACAACTTTTCACAATAATGATCTATAATTACAATAATGCTGAAATTTTAAATACCCCTGTCGTAGCAATCCCACAGACTAAGCTTATTTGCATTTACCTAATTAGATGTTCACTCAAATATCTCCTTAAAAAATTTAATATTTACCAACTATTTAAATAGCAGTAGTTTAATTAGGTTTGCTGCTACGGGGATGGCAATAAAGTATTTATATAGTGATATGTTAGTGGCTTAGTATGAAACAAATATATTTTCCAAATTTAATCAAAATATGTTTATAACTAAGCTAGTTTACATATTCTCCACAAAAATAACATTGGAATTCTAAATTTACAGTTTTTTAACTATCTTCTTAACCATTTAAGCAAATAACAACGTTTCAATATACAAAATCATTTGCTTTTAAGTCCTACAAAAGGGTTCGGAATAGATTGTAAATTTTATATTTAGACGTCAAAAACGGGGAAAACCAATTTTTACCCCCATTAAACCCCCCATAAGCACCTCATAAACCCCCATTCCCATAGTGCGATCATGTAGTTCGCAAACTAGTTCAAATACATGTAGGTTTACAAGTTTTTATAAAATTACCGTGAGACCACGGTAATAGCTACTTCCCTATAGGAAAATTCGCTAAACATTACCTTTAGAATGTTTTACAACTATACGTTCTGAAACTTATTGAAACATCAAAATTACGATGATTTGTTTAGACTTTGTGTGGAATTGAAGGAGGATCACGTTCGCACACTACGTGGAAGTTTTCCTTTAAGAAACGGCTCAATTTGAAACAAAAATAGCACAGAACAAACACCTTTGCTAACTTTGTGCTAAAACCAAAAGTTAACAATTTCCATCACAAGTCTCAAACAAACAGGCAACTATAACAAGATCTGCAACGTGTCCCAAACTTGAGCTTTGACCGTAAAGTTACTCTTCTTTACCTGCAGTTCGTCTTCATTGTTTTTGTTAAAAATTATCAATCATTTGAAACATATTTTTCTGTTAAATGTTTTTTATATGAAGATATTAAATTATAGGACAATGAAGAGAAAACAAAACTCAAATATTTAGATTGTAACCAATTATTGACAAAATACTTCTTTACAGAAACTTAGCCCGTAAGTTACTTCATGGGATAGCCTTGACTAATAGGTAAAACTTTATGGAACATGTTAATAAATCTGGCTGGTTTATGGATTAATTAAAGACAGCTAAATTGTTCAAAATCTGAGATACAAATTTGGATTATCATCTTATAATGTCTTACTTGTAATTTAGATATTTTAAAACATATAGATTGATTAAGAAGTAGTCACCATTAAATATACAGGGTGTCCCGTAACTCTCTTGACACATGTATACAGCGTTGTTGCTTAGGTCAAGACAAACACATTTCACCATTGGAACATGGGTCTGTGGTGTATAGTTTACCGACTGTCGGCATTTATGTGTTTTATACAAAAACATTAATAACTCCTTAACGGTTTGAGATGCAGCCTTGAGATTTTGCAGAAGTGGTAATCTTATTAAGGCCTATTATCGTTAGAAATTGGACTAAAAAATCATTAACCGTTTCAAAATGGCGGCCATTTAAAATATTTGATACCAAATTTTACGAAAACCGTCAACTTAACGAAAACATTGCAAGAGACAAAAAAGTTAGTACATTTGATGTAGTTTTCAATAATACCTTATTTGTTATGAATGGATCAGTAATAACAGAAAAATGTCGTCTTTTCCAAATGCATGACGACTTTTCTCCTTTTAAACAACGCTAATACTCCTTTAGCATTGTTTAAATGGAGAAAAGTGGTCATGCATTTGGAAAAGAAGAAGTTTCTCTGTATGGAGAGTATTTATCCATTCTTAAAAAATAAGGTATCATTGAAAACTACATAAAATTTACTAACTTTTTGTCTCATGCAATGTTTTCGTTAAGTTAACGGGTTTCGTGAAATTTGGCATCAAATATTTTAAACGGCCGCCATTTTGAAACGGTTTTTGATTTTTTAGTTTAATTTCTAACAATAATAGGCCTTAATAAGATTAACATATCTGCAAAATGTCAAGCCTGTATCTCAAACCGTTTAGGAGTTATTAATGATGTTGAATAAAACACATAAATGCCGACAATCGGTAAACTAAACACCACAGACCCATGTTCCAATGGTGAAATGTGTTTGTCTTGACCTAAGCAACAACGCTGTATACATGTGTCAAGAGAGTTACGGGACACCCTGTATAATACCTTAAATTATATTTTACCAATGTTCATGTATTCCACCCTTTTTAAACATTCAGGGCCAGATATTAAAAATAAATATTTTTTACTACCTGCGTTAGCCAATTACGCTCTATGTGCACCAACAATTGATAAGCAAATTAAAAGCAAACAAAGTAACTGAATGGAAAATTAAAAGCAACATTTTTGGTGGTTAATGAAAGGCCACTGGCTGTGTTCCTAACGTAAACACACAGAACAAAAACCTCTCTAAAAACTAGGTATTGATGAGTTACAAATTACACATTTTTAGGTGAGCAAAAACCGTGCAATTTTCCTTGGTGATATAGTTTTCCCAGTTCCAGGAATGCACAATCATTGTGCACTGTTGTAAGACGATGATACATTTTTTCGAAGGGATGGCAAAACTAACAAGAATAACACTCTATTTTTAGTTTCAAATCACAGAGAGTAAACTTTTCACTATGTTATTTTAAACCAACTGTTTCGAGAGTGCACAAAGAGTTTCGAATGGCTGCTAAGCTAATTGTAAATGGGGAGATAGTCATACTAAGTTCCTCCCTAAAAAATTTGGGCCTCTTACCCCGGAGGAAACGCAGTAGTAAATTTGAAAAATAAATTACCCCCGCTGAAACAAACCTGCAGAATAAGCGAATTTCCATTTGTCTAATCGGATTTTCACAAAACTATTTCTTGAACATATAAGATCAATAATATTTGGTTGAATGGAATTTTCTGTTTGATGCTACAAGGAATTTTACAAAATGTGTCTTTGTTAATTATTTATAGCTTGATGTAAAATTAATAAATCAAAAATATTTGTAACAATATACTGTATCTGTAAAAACCAAATACAACAGTTTACTTAGTCTCCATAAGAATACATGGGCATTTTAAATTTAACCTACAGTTTTTTTAGATTTTTTTTCTGTAATTATTTGGCGTACAACGCTTCAACATATCAAAATATTTATTTTCTAAGCTCTACAAAATAGTTGAGAAATAACTTTGGAAATATCAGGAGTTAAGGGTCAAAATAGGAATAACCAATTACTACCCCATAAAACCCCCAAAGCCGTTGTCTCCCATAAATCCCATGGTCTAATCATAATGGTTCGCGAAGTCGGTTGAATGGACTTGGGTTATTACGATTGTAGTAAAGTTTTTAGGAGTATTTTAGCCCTACGAGAGTTACAGATGGATATATATTTATACATACGAAATTGAACGGATGGTATTTTTGGCCTCTAGGGACATTAAAACGAACAGGTAAATCGGTCTAGGATCTAAAAAATCTTTTTAACCGTACTAAAGAAACAAAATAATCCTTGGCTTTTGTATGTCGTTTTTATTAAAATGATACCTAAGGCAAACTTTTTGCCGATAATGGGGTTGAGGTAATTAAAACGTAACCACGCACACCTGTAAAAATGTTTGGTTTTATTTTTAAAAGACCTCGGTAGTAATTAAGATCTATTTATCATGGTGGGCATGGAATGGTTCCTAAAACACATCGCTTGCTCGTGGCTATGTGTTTTAAACTTTATAGTCTTTACTACTCTGTCTAAACATGAAATTTATAACTACAAAGTTTTAACGATTGCTAGAATCCATAACAAATATAGAAATGTCTTCCCATCAATATGACGTTCATAGTATCACATACTATTTAATGTAAATATTTGTAAAAACTAGAACTAGGGTAATCCATAGAGGAAATTTATACGATGAAATGTAAAACGATGTAATATTTTAGCCACCTTTGTGTAGGATTCTTTGAAACCTATCGAATCGAATTTATGAGCCTTAAGAATTTAATAAGAGCAGACCGTTTACTGTACAACAAAGGAAACCTTCCAAGTATAATTAATGTGAAAGGTAAGTTCTCTCAATTCCAGACGCTATAAGTATTCATGTGACCAGAAAATGATAGAAGTTGTACAACGAGATTTTTTAATTAGTATGGGGAAATTACAAAAAAGTAGAGTTTGTCAAAATCAAGAACTTTATCAATAAACGGCATCAGAAAACTGACACATTCTTTCTCCCATTGCTTGTTAAGTTTTTTGCCCTTAAAGTTACGTAGAGTGATAACAACCAGGCCTAAGCACAGGCACCTGCCCATGTAGGCCTATCCCATAAGTATGGCAGATTCATCTGACAATGTTGTACTAGTTTTAATCTTGCTCTCTGTTTTATTTATCTTTCTGTAATGAAATAGGGATGGATAAACGTATTTCACGTATGTATTAACAACACTTATAATGAATTAGTTGAAGGGGTAACTATGAAATTTTATGGGTAAAATCATAGTATTTGCCATAATTTTCGAACCATAATGTTTTACAGCATTGGCATTGTACTATTATATATAGTTAATTAGTTTATAGTTAATTTTTAGTTAATTAGTTATAGAGTTAACAAGCATTGACTATATATAATATAGTCAATGATACAAGCCTGTAGACAAATGTAATAAAAATCGGACTTCAGGTGTAGTCTGTAGTTCTTTGCGCATCAATACACAGACATCACTTCAAAAACCACCTTTTGGGTTCAGGTGGGCCCAAAACGGTGATTTCTACACAAAAATCAAACTGAAAAATACACAATGTAAAGGGGGAAAGTAAAAAGACATAATATGAGTTTCTTTAGTAGGCTCTCAACCAATCTACACAATTAATACTATACAGTTTTAGTTAGTAGTTAGGTCAATTGGACTTTCACAAATAAATGTTGGAGAGGCTTACGTTGGACTGATTCATCCAAAATAGAAATGGTAAATTAAACCATACGACTCAACAGAGGCGAATAACTAAATTGTCTGCTGAACTGAAAATGCAGCCGGAAAAAATGATTAATGTCTGTGAGTTTTCCAAAACACTGGCGTTTTTAACCTAGTTAAAATACGATTCGCCTAATAAAGAATAAAGAATGGGTAGTACTTTCGCATTTATTTAAGCTAAACCTTTGACTATTAATACAACAACTAGACATTCCATCCCCATAATAAGGTTGTAGCCAGGTTTTTGCTAAACCTCCATAAATTCCGAATAATAAATACCACTTTCTTCTGTGGTAAAAAAATCTAACGGTTAGTTTTATTTAAATTATATATATTTTTATTTAAAAGATGATGAAAAATGTATTCAGTTGTCTAACTAACATAAAAATGCGCACTGCATTTGGACGACCGGGATCAGATGTCATGCCGTCCATAGAGTTTGCCATTTTACCCCCAAGGACATTTTTAATTATTCCTAGTATTACTGACGCATAATTCGTATCAAAACTGTCAAGTCAGATCTTGTAACTAGAATTAGTTTAAGCAGTTTTACATGATATCTTTTTGAAACAGAATCTTGGTCTCGTCCTTAACAGTGAAATTCTTTTACTCTTGATTTTTGAATTACAGTATTTATTTTGTTTGAAAACTTATAGGCAATAGTAGCATCATTAATGAATCATTCAATTTCAATAAAACTGTAAAATAGGTGCAGTAAAGATTGTGTATAATAGAATCTTAGAATTTTCCCTAATTTTAAGCCTAATTGCATATTTTTGTGATATGCACAAAATACACTTACCGAAAGTTGTTGTTGTTCGGGTATATGTTCGTAAAATGAACAACAGAGGAAACAAGAATGTTTTATACGACTGAGTGCTGCTAATTAATTTTGGTTACGGACCTGTGTAGCACATATTTTATTCTTCGTTTAATTAAAACTGCCCATTAATATTTTGGAATCGTTGTATTTCATTTTCTGAAAACTACGTCGCAGCAAAAACTAAAAAATAATTTGGCACCTGAATGTGTCACGAACTACATTATAATACTGTATATAAATAAGTGAATTGAGGCAAGAGTTGTGGAACTATTAATTAAATCAACATTAACGAATAAAAACAGTATACTACTTAATATATTTAACAACTTATCTAAATAAACGGTATCATCAATCTGACAAATACTTTCTCCCATTAGCTTGTCAACAACCTTAATAGGTAAGCGGTGGGCGTAACTATGATATTTTATAGGAAAAATCACAAATGTTGCATTAACCTTTGAACCAAATGTTTTACAGCCATAGGGGGTTGATTTATTTTCTTCAGAATTATAAGGACCATAACCCATTAATTTTAATCAAACCCGGCATTTCCCCTAAAATCAGATTTTTTGTTATTTTATGGGAAAATAACATAAATCGTAATAACTTTTGAACAGCAATTTTTATGTAAATGGTATTTGTACAACTTAGTTCAAAATTCAAAGGACCATAACATACTAATTTTAATCAAAACGGGGTTTTTTCTAAAATACAAATTTTTGTTATTTTATGGGGTCTTTATAGGAAAATAAAAGAGAGAGGGTAAAAATTTACATACACCAAAATATTCCTTTTTGATAACTATACACATTCCAGAATAATATAATTTAATCTCTATAAATAAAAAAAAAAAAAAAACAGGCGGTGGGAATTTTGAGACACGTGGCATGTTTTCAGCGTTAATTGTTTATTTGCTGTAACTAAGATTATTTAAAATAAGTCACATGATTTTAGAATACATCGCTTGTATTTTTTGTGTGTGTTTCAGTATTACAGCCACCAAACTAGGTTTTTGTGAAAAAATTGTAAAACTATTCATGAACAAATAAAAAATAAATATGTGTATCAAAAGCACGTAACACCAGTTTTTGTAAAAATGTGTTCTGTGCCTATCTATCTTTTAATTTGTTTCAGACATGTGTTTAAGCTATGCGCTTAGTGAGTTCAACACTTGTTTGAACTCAAGGTCATAATAACAAATACCGTTTTTAAAATAACATTTTACTAAGTCGTAAGTAGTTGACACAGTTTTGGATTCAAACTTCGGAAATTCAGCCTTCTTCAAAGTGTTTTTTGCAGACTACATCAAGTCTTTGGTATTCTCCTTCTTTTTCAGTCTCACTGACACTCTGTTCTGAATGTTTAACCCCATTGCTCTTGAAAGTGATAGTCGCAGCATTGCTATGTAGTTTGAAGTTTATCGTGTGATACGCACTGAGTTCAGCTTCCTGTTTTAGGCCTACAAATCGTCTGGTGTAGAGTCCGAAGACTAGAAGACCCAGGTTGGTTGGGCTCGAACTCTTCTTAACATACAGTCGAGTGTCAGATGCGATGTATTCATTCAATTCGTCTTCGATATTTGGTTCTGGCAAAGGATAGTATTCAAAATCTGAGTAAGTGGCCAACGGAATGTTAACTTCCTTCTGAAACAAAATAATATTCACCTTCGTACGCAATTTACACCTCAAAATTAGATTTTAATGCTCGTATATTAGGTTCTAGCCCGGAAAAGTTTTATCCATTGCTTATAAACGTAAATTAACAGACCCAAACTCTAAATCATAGTAATTATCAACCAAATGCTGGTATTTTCAAAACAATACTCAATGAGTCAATATCTGAACTAATGTTACATTGCGAATCTAAGAAATGCACAAAAACTTATTGACCAATGAAAACAATTACTGTATTACTGCTGAAGAGTCTGCTTCCGTACCGCGACCGGTTAATAGTAGGCCTACTATATGGTTGAATTTTCTTTTCGTGAGATGTTATACACTTTGTGTATTCATCTGAATGTATTTGACTACTCTATTATCTATGAAGCGTTCTTGACAGGAGATCACTTGACAATATTAATACAGCCTTTGGCTGGATAGAGCCAAGTAACTAAGTAATGACGTGATTTTATAATTTAATACTTTTGTGATAATTAAATGTTTCAGCTACAAAATTTAAACTTTGGTTATTTATTTTGTAAATAATCTAAAAGCAACAAGGTGGATTATTTTCTAATTTTTATATTGTGAAAGATTTTGCTTAAGTTTAATTTTGAAAAATAGTTTTAATTAATTTAATTATTCAATAAGGTATCATTTAATTAATTTAGTTTTTTTATTTGGTAGTCATTTAATTAATACCGTAATTTAGTTAAAACTTAAATGCTATTTACTAACGGTCATAAGAAGTATAACATGCATATTAATACTTGATTAGGGATTATCTTGTATCTAAGGAAACTGAGGTATTGCTGTATTTTCAAGTATAATTTTACTTTAATATACTTTAATACTTTTCAATGAAATGGTGAACATACAAAGTAGGTATTTTAAGCCAAGTATGAATGGAGACGAGTGTAGGATGAGTGACGCAATCTTTTAGTCTTGTTAGTGACTAAGGCCGACTATTCCTTAGACACAGCTTAATAGCTCATTCAGCAAATGGCAACTAAGGGACCTACAGTTTATAGTGGAATCCAGACCTCACTTTTGCCTTGGTATAATGTAAACGAATTGGTCTAATTTTCAGGATAGTACTGCGGATAGTCGTAGTTACTACTCACTCGTGCGGACGTTAATCCACACCAGGGAGTATCGCATCCACAGTGCATGCCTATAAATATCCACAATTCGTTTTTAATAGAGTAAATGACATTTTATACTCAGGAGTGCTTTCAGATATTTCTTTGATTCGTGCAACTGTCTATGGTAAAAAAAATAGTTAAAAAAAATATCTTACTTCTCCTTCCTTGAGTTTCAGTAGCAGTCGAGTATAGAATTTGCTGTCTGGCATCGACATCTTTTCCCTGACAAGCTTATACGATTGCTCTCCTGGTTTCCCGTCTTCTGTTAGATCACATAAATACGTACCTATTACTTTGGCTTGCTGGAAATCTTCCATCCTCTTGGTTACTAAAGATACAAAACATAGTTGAACTACAAACCAAATATTGTATGTTTTAGCTCGATTTTCTTAAACAACTTAGATTGCTCTGCTTAATATTTGACAGGACTTAAATATACACATTTTTTTTAGTATAAAATTAAGTACGAATAATTGATGTAAACCTACTTCTGTTACTCAGGATAAAATAGTTAACTCCATCAGGTAGCAGTAGAGATTCGATTATCCGAAACGATTGGAAATCATGCGTGTTCGGACAGTCATCTTCGAATGCGGTCGTTGACAGTAAACATGAGGTAATTTACTTAACTTTGATTGATTACATATAATGGATATAAACACTGTTTAAGTTATTTTTACTGGAATTGTTTGTCTCCCGCGATCGCGCAAACATCCGTGATCATACTTTTGGACTTTTCGTATAATCAGGCTTCGTATAATTGACGCTCCACTAGAAAAATTCATAGTAGTTATTTTTTGCATGAAAAGTATTTATTTTACTTTACTTATTTTAAATTTTTAAATTTAGGGTTTCAAACCTCTGTCCAATTTGTTTGACTCAATGAACAAATATAAACGTTACATCAGAACTGAATTTATACTAAAACTACCAATCCGTGGAAACATATGTATAAAGTTTAAATTTACTAAAATTAAATTTGAACCATGCGTAAAAAAAATAGTAATTAATAATGTTGCACTCGAAAAGAACTCTTATGGGGGTATCTTAGGTGGATAGGGTGGTAAAAAAGCCCCAAGATATTTTTATATATTAAAAAAATACACAACTTGGCTTAAAGTCGCTGGGAATGAACGTCATTTTAACACTTTATTCAGTGATACTTACACTGTATACGGTGATAAAGAGAATCGGATACTTGGAGTCGGAAGAAAATCTTAAACGTAAGCATAGGTTGATATGCACATAAAATAAAGGTATCTTCTAGTATATACATCGCCGCAAACTCATACGAACAACCAAGTCAAAATAGTAGTAGTTTCGTTCAAAGAATTCTCGAATTTGCAATTTTGAATTTTTTAACAGCTACCATTTTGATCTTTTGAGCTCCAGTTTGAGTCATTGTATTGTTCTAGTAAAATCCTTTGATGTCAATATCGACTTATGCTTACATTTATGACCTTTTCCCGACTTATAGCGGTTGTCTCCTTGAGGAGGTAGCGTTTCTCTCAGTAGTGTTTCAAAATTCGTTTTATGACCTGTGATTTTTGCTATTTTTTAGCTCTATCTTTATTTCTTTTATCATTAATTGTCCAGGGACTTTTTTCACCCGCTGTAAATAGCCATTTATCAAAGGAAAACAGTTTTATTCAAATAAAGTATTTAAAATATTACTTACGAGAAAGTCCGGTGGCTCTTTGAAAGTAAAATGCTGTACGAGCTAAAACAAGAACATAAACCATATGTTTTTTTTAGTCAAAGATTTTATATGACATCTTAATAAATTAATCAATTTTATTGCTACACTACGGAACGTTGTAAGGCTCTTTCGAATCTAATTTCTTTAGTAGAAGTAGGGTTATAGGAAGTACACTTTTAAGTGAGCATATTTTTTTAGATAAAATCATAGAGTTGCAGTATTTAAGAAAAATATTTTTCTTTGCAGTTCTTTGGCTTTAATCCAAAAATTTATTATGTAATTGTAACTATATAATCTGATTCTAGAAGCACATTATCCATCTTCCGAATCCACTTCCCTTTACGAAGCTCAATAATAGTGACAAGTCTTAAATAAACTTAACACTCAATTTAAACAGTTAATCAATCCCCAATTTAGCCTAACTGTAGCAATTTTAGGACTTAACGGTATTTTTAATTATATCTACGTTTACTTACATATTGATACGTCTATATAATCAAAATTAACGGTGATGTTCTCCGTTCCTAAAAAAACAATAAAGTTACAAAGAGGGGCTGTATACACTAGAGTTATTAAGTGGGGTTCAGCCTGTATTGTTAAAGATTGCCTAGTGTGAACTTGTGTATTTATACAAATGGGTTCACTTATTAGGGATACTAATAAATAATATCATGTATTAAAACGTGATAAGGTTTTTTATTTCACGACCCTAAATCAACCACTTGACGGATTTTCACGATTTTTTTGTTGAAAGAAGGATAAATTTTACATGACTGGGATGTCAAAGCCATAATTTTAGTTTAGGGTTCCAGTTATTAGATATAAAGTTTAGCAGCTATCAGCCGACTCTAACAGAGAAGATACATTAACTTTTAAAAGTGTATTCCAATGAGTATTACAAAGTAGACGACCACTTTGAAGACCAAGAATGTAGTGGAAAGACCAAGTAATGAAAGAAATCTCCAAACTGGGATCTACATTATACTTTAATACTTTTCTTTGAAATGGCGACCATACAAAGTAGGTATTTTAAGCCAAGTATGAATGGAGAAGTTTATTTTATTGAAAACATCTAGTTGTTGTTTTGTGGCCTCCCTTCTTCCCTTGTTGTTTGTTATGGCTGAATTAATTGAGGCTGTCCGTGCCTACCCAGTTATCTGGGATACAACTATAGAAATTTATAGAGATCAACAAGAGAAAGATAAAATTTGGTTGGAAATTGCGACTACACTCCAAAGGGATTACAAAGATCACCAAATCGCTGCCGCTTACTGTTAATCGGATAAACCCACTTTCTCCTTTTTGATAATGAGTACAAAAGTACAACCTCGTCATCACTATCATCACTACTTGAATTAAGCCACAGAACCGAAAATCCGGGTTGACACCCTGGGACAGAAGGCTCAGACATTTTGCACACCTCCACTGAGTTGTAAGAGGAAGTATGTTTAATCTATGATTGTAGTAGGAATGGCCAACTTCCCTATGCGCATGCGCGAATGAGTGAACGTTTGAAACGTAGCTCGCAATGTGAAAGGGGCGCGTAGCATCCATCCGAATCATTTCATCCGTCCGCGGACGAAATTACCGTCCGCGGACGCCAGTGTGAAACCGCCTATATGTAGACAAGAGCGCAACAATGCATATCAGCTGATCGTAAGTGAAGGCCGACATATTCCTTAAACACAGCTGTTAATTAATAGCCCATACAGCTAATGGTGACTAAGGGACCTGGCAGGGGATAGAAGAGAATGGGAGGCCAGACTCCTCGCGTAGGTAAGACAAGGTTCGGTGAGAGATAGTATGCAATGAAAGGTGTTATTTAGCTACGGTACTCAAAATCAGTGTGGTGTGAATCGACCAAACTCAAGTCAAGGCTTTTCAAATCGACCCAATTGCTGGTTTATTGTAAAATTATCGGATTTAAATTGCATACAGTATATCCTATAATCAGATGAAAGAAATAGGTGGTTACGTGACATTTATATACAAGATGATTTACCCCATTGTAACTACCAGAATTTGTCATTATGCGTGTAATCAAGTACCCTTTTAGCATTTTTTTTTAATAAAATACAATATTTAGTTTAAATTAGATCCAAACCTGAATTGTGGTTCAGAAAATTTAACCTTTATAAAATCTCCACCTACAGTATATAGTTATATACACTGTGTTAAAAAATGGGTAGGGACAAAATCTACGTAGTGACTTCTTGGGTCAAAATTAGAAGAAAATCAAAGTAAAACCTTTTCCAAAATCGCTTTAATAACTAGATATCCGCCTTTTTTTATTTCTTACGCAATGATTTTTATCTTTGAATTGATCCAACCGATCCTTGGTAAGTACTGTATGTTATCTTGGGCCAATCCAAAATTTCAAAATGCCGGCCATTTTAAATCTTTAAATTTAAATTATAAAAAAATTGCTAAATTTATGAAAAAATTTCAAAGAACTCTTTTTTTGTATTTTAAGTGTCATATCCAACGACACCAAGTTCAACGATGCAAAACTGACTAGCTTAGCCCGATTCAACATTATTTTACCATAATAATCGTGGTATTTTAGTAATTTTTTATTCCATATTTTTTAAGTTGGTTTTGTTCGATAGGGAATGTTAAATGCTAAATACAAATGTACTTGACGTTTGTTAATAAATTCACAATTTGTTCGTCATTTTAATTTAAACAATTTTAAATGGGTGACATTTCGAAATTTTCCATTCAAAATCAAGATTTTTTTTTCTCACATGGGTCGATTCTATCTTAACCTTACATACAACGTTACATAAAGATTGGTTAGAAAAATCGATGGATAAAAATATTTATGTAAAAAAATCAATAAGGTATCTGGTTAACAAAGCGATTTCAGGAAAAATGTTATTCATGATGTTTATTTTTTGTATGTAGGCTGTGCGTGCATAGCCAAGCATAGCCCGCTACGGAATTTCATGACACTCTCATACACATTCCAACGTACTTAAGTTGATAAATATGCTTTAGTGTAAAACAGAGGCAGACGTTACAAGTTATTATGAGAAAACTTACTCTCTACACTCTTCACTTCCAGAATTCCATCGAAGATGAGAAACTGAAATGAAACAACAATTGTTTACATTTTTGTGATGTTGTTTTACGTTGAAATGTGGTGTTATTGTTTACAATGTTGCACTGACTAAATAATGATTCAACTAAATAGTGTGCTTATTTAGACCTACAAAATTTAATAAAAATAATGAATAATAAAATACAAATACCCAAATTAAATTGTATGTGTAATGAAATAAAACATAGTTTTTTCCTTTTTACAAAAAATGATAAACTACAATAGGTGCCTACATTGGGGTGTTTAAACGGTAATTGAAATATTAACTTAAAGATCATATTAAATACCATTTTGATGTAAAAAATACAATTACATTGCAAAGATAAATACGTATAAATATAAATAAATATAAGATCTTTATAATCTTAATACTAACCGGTATAAGAAGACTGAAGCGAATCATGGATGAGAATATTGGCGACTGCAAGAGTGTTCAGCATCAAACAACACGATCAGAGCTATGTATACTACGTGTACACTGTACATGCAGTTAATTGGTTGTCTAATAAACACATGCTGACTCTACGTCATTTAAAGTAGTAACGTCAATCCCTCGAATATATCACACTATAACTGTAATGCTAATAGCACAACAATCTATTTTAAGTTGAGTACAATAAAAATGTGTTTTGACAGAAAAAAATAGCACAAGTGGGGAATTTGGTACAGATGTTGGGTGTACCTTCCTTTTGAACATACTAAAAGTCCCCTAAAATTGAATCTGTGCTACGGCCGCCATATTGGAAAATGGCGGCATATTTATGTATTTTTGGCTATAGTGACTTTATTATTGGAGATACAGGAAAATCCAATCATATAAAATGTGGTTCATCTAAAAATACACATTTTTTGTATATATAATTTTTCTCTAAGCCCAACGGTTTTTGAGTTATTTGTGATTAAGTATATTTGGTTTTTTTTATTTATCAAAAACAGGCGAAAACCATGGAAATCGACGGTTACTTTCAGGTTTACGACAATTCATCCCATTTAGTTAAATAGTTTGGTTATATGTAAATGTTTTTTTATGTAATGGCTAGGTCTTCGCACTGGGGTATGACCTAGAAAAAAGTTAGCCCTCAAAAGTTGCCTTGGAAAGTAGCTTTAGTATAATATATCATTTACAGGACAAGACATGATTTCCTAAACAATAGAATCATTCAGTGTATAAACAAACGTACTACGTTTTACAAAATCGTCATACAAATGCTGTTTTACATAAGGATGGCAACGCTTGTATAACAGCACTAGCGTTGCCCGTCGGCTTCACCCGACATATTTTTGGGGGTTTTTACTACTATGAACTCGCTGAGGTTGTGACTTCGCTTCGGGCTAAAATGACCTTTTGAATTATTTGTCTGTATAGTAACCGTTATTAAATACATTTTTGATATATACAGGGTGTCCCATTAGTAAACAGCCAAACTCCGGGAATTGGTTTTATGGGTAGAAATAAAGAAAAATCAAGCATACAATTTTTTTCCAAAATCGCTTCGTTATCCAGATATCCACAATTTTGTTTTTATCACATTAACATTTATGTCGTAAAAGTTTTTCAACCGATTATTATGAAACTTGGTATGTATGTTAAGGTAGAAGAGACATGTTATAAAAAATTATCTTAATTTATGTCAAGATTTAAAAATGGTGGCCATTTTAATTGTGTAAACTAAAATTACAAAGAAATGGCTGATTTAATGGAACAATGTTATGCACACTTTTATTTGGCATTTTTAATTTCCTATCAAACGATACCAAGGTAAAAAAATCTAATAAAAATAGCTAAAATATTAAGAATTTTAGTTGTAAAATGGGGCAAACCTAACTATCTTAGCCTTTTCTTCCATTAACTATTATATATAGTCACGTTCACACGGACCCACTAGGGTTGGCCGCCCTAGATTGGACATAACGACAGTTGAGCGCGCCAGCAGTACGCTTGAAGCAAACCCAAGACAGGAGTGATTAATATTGCATACGGCATACTCCTACCGATTGGACGTACCAAAAATCCAACTTTAGCCCAGCTCCTGAATGTCGCTACTCAACTCTCTCTACCGATCAATAACCTGACGCCAAGAGAAGGATGAGTCACATGGCCGCCTTTGCCAACTGGTTTACTGATAACAGCTCCTTGTTGCTGGATCAGCGTGTCCACTTGACGGTAGCCCTTCCCTCAATTTTTGGATTTTTTTTAGGAAAGGTAAGAAAATTTGGTCCTAAGTATTTTGTCATAGTATTTTGTCAAGTATCGTATTATTAATTAACTTGATGCCTCGACCATTGAAGCTTTACTCATTTCATTTTGTAAAATGTTTCAAATGTTTCACTCAAACTTGCAGTAAGATCGCTCATAAATTATTTCTTACTCGAATTAAAACAATTTATGTATTTTATCTGTGATAGCTTAGAAAGCAACTAAAAAATTGTATTTACCTTTTGTCAAGTATATTACCTGTAACTTCTCAAAATTTTCCAACAAAACACCAATATATACAATTACAATACAGTGTTCAAATTTGCTTTCTAATTAAAATCCATATTTTTAGCCCCTGAGCTGTGATGTAACTAAAAAATAGGGTTTACCTTTCGTCTACAGCTCAATGAGTTGTAACTTTCGTTACGGCCGTTTTGGCATTAACATGCCATCATCAGACGTCTTCGGCTGAAGCAGCGTCGTCACAGTAGAAACACATAGGCCTAACACGAACACATTTTACGAATACACATTTCACGACACGGTCGGCATCTAGCTCTGATCATGTCAACCGGTAACGTGTGTGCGACAGGCCTGTTAGTTTTATTTTCGTATATTTGTATTCTTAAAATGTGTTCGTGTTCGTGTTATGTGTTTCTACTGTGACGACGCTGCTTCGGCCGAAGACGTCCGATAATGGCATGTTAATGCCGAAACGGCCGTAACGGAAGTTACAACTTATTCAGCTGTAGACAAAAGGTAAATACAATTTTTAATTACATCACAGCTCAGGGGCTAAAATATGGATTTTAATTAGAAAGCAAATTTGAACACTTATTTCTATACTATTGTCTGAACATTAATTGTAATTATATATTGGTGTTTTGTTGGAAAACTTTGAGAAGTTACAGGTTAGAATTTTATACTTTTTTATATGTTTATTTCTATACTCTTCATACTCTTGTATCTGAAGTAACACATTTTATTTTTAGCACATAGAATTCGTAAAACGTAGAGATTGTACTTTATTTGCTACAGAGGATAAATTGTTCTTATGTCCCCGTTCATAATAATGTTTCATTCAAAGGTTGAAAACGGGAACACCTTCAGACGCGCCTTAGCTGTCCTCTTACTTCATACCTTAGCTGCCATCTTAGCCTTCCCTTTAGTTGTTCTCCTACTCTTGGTATCCCCTTTGTTGTTACCCCACAGAGACACCTTCTGACATCCAAATCAAATATTTATAAAGGTTTAAATTTATGCATTACCATATAAGTTGCTACATAATATTCGGGATATTATAGGGCTTCACCTCAGCTGCCGACTTCCGTTGCTAACCTCAGAGCCATACCTCAGAGACCTACCTCAAATCATACCTCGACTCTTACCTCAGCTCATACTTCGCAGTAGACTCGGAGCCATAACGCGGGATTATACCTTGGCTCATACCTCGGAGTCTACCTCGGGGCATACCATCCGATAAGTCCTACTTTAGCTAGCCTAAAATCACCACAACTAAACTATTTATATTTATATTATAACTGTTTTATTGTATTATATATTTCATTATTATTATTATTTTATTATATACATAATAATATTTTATATATTATAACATTTATTATTATTTTATTATTGATTTCACTATATTATATTTCATATTTTATATATATATTTAACGATTACAAAATGTTTTATCATAGACAAAAAGAATGAAATATAGACTGTCAGCCGTGCTGTGGTTACCATAGGTCCTGGCACACACTGCTGGGAGCGCCGTGTAGTTACGTAGTGCGTAAGCCGTAACTACTTGGCGCTCCCGGTGGTGTGCATAAGAACCTATAGTAACCGTAGCACGGCTGACTGTCTATGTTTAATTCTTTTTGTCTATGGTCTTTATGCAGTAAAGTATCAATTTCAAGCCACAAAATAATACAAACTAGGTTACTTTCAAGGCTTACGCTAATTCATCTAACTGCGTTAATCAGAGTTAATCATCAAAACTTAGCTTTGTTTAATGAGTAATAAATAAGTTTTAAGAACCAGCTGTAAGTTAAAAGTATTCATCATCTGTTCAAATGAAAATATTTTCTCTATAAGGATAACATGGGAACTTAAAGGCCACTGGGGCAGAGCCATGATGGAAAACGCTTCATATTGCACACCACGAGCTTACCTGGTGTGCAATATAATTGGAACCTGCTTATCTTAATTGAAACCTCCATTCCAATTCCTGAGTTCTTATGGCTTGTAGTTTTTAAGATATAGTGATCAATGAGTGAGTAGTATTTGCCTTTTGTAAGTATATATTATGATGTCTGATATATAACCTAATATTATATAGGTCACATCTACCAAATTATTATCTTTATCGTTATTATTCCAGAGATTTATCGTTTTTTTCTTATATATGTTTACAGGCGAACGAATAGACGGTTTTTGATCATTGTTTATTTGAACTATGTGAGTTGGTACACTGCGGGATGTTGATAACAAATGTACTTTTTGATTGATTAATACAATTTAAAACTTCTATCTTTTTCACTCTACGCTTTATACTTTTTTTAACTAATTTTTATCATCTTCCCTGTAGCAGCCATCCTAATTAGTCGTTAAACCTAATGTTATGACAGGGGATGAATACATCTAGCATTTTCGAGGAAATATTTTACTTAAAATTTTATCAGAAAAATCAAATATCGCTTATTCTCAAAGTTTGCTCTGCCTGGGGTACTTATTTTTCAATTGTTTTCAAGTTTATATCCAAGCAATTTGTATATTAACCTGCCATTAGTATAATACTTATTAAAAGCAAGGTATGATAATAACGGCCACATTTTACAAATCAATATTTAATATGAGGTCATCAACAGACACATTTTTGGGTAAGAGATTTTAAGTTTGGTCTTTTTCATTTCTTTTTGCTGCATAGTTCCTCAATTCTTATCCAATGTCTGCGTTTTTCCTCTTCAAGGAACCGACTTCCACCAATATTCTCATTCGTTGTGGATGTTATTTCAATAGTGGCAGCATTATCACGCTTCGCGAACGCTATTTTGTGTCGCCTGCCCACGGGACTGCGACTCTTTTGGTCTATCATGACTCCCTGGACGATCACTTCCACGTTGGTGGGGGTAGACCCACTCACAACATACAGGTGAATTTCAGACGCGAAGATTTCTGCCAATTCTACATCGTTAATTGGCAAAGTATACTTTTCGAAATCTGAATAATTGGCCAGTGGAATATCATGTTCCTTCTGAAAAATATAATAGTTACTTAAGTGCAAAATATAAGTCACAAAACCAGCTCTTAACGCACTATGTTTTTTAATTTCTACCTTCACATTCTCAGTCGCTTAATTCTAGCCCGTAATTATTTTATAATACGGGGTAGGCCTAGAAAACCGTAGTGCTATCGTATTACTGAAAGCTATTGGTAATTTGCGGGACTTGTATCGGGAACCGAAGCCTGGATCTATACCGATAGACCAGCTCGCTCTACTCAACTCATTTTGCTGCTGTTGATTTTGTAAGCTTTCTTTTCTTCTTGCCGTAAGCCCAGAAACGTATACTTACCCATTAAAAACAAAAATCAAAGTGTTGAAAAAGTATAATCGAACTATGGTATTTTTAAAGCAACTGAGCTGTGATCTGTCTATGAATCTGTGTTAAAAATCACACCTGACAAATGAACATTGATAAATGAAAATAAGTAGTCTAATTTAAGCAAATTTGAGTTTTTAATAACATTGAATTACAGACTTTGGGGTCACAATTCCAATCGTGGCAGTTGGGTGGAGCAAAGTGAAGAAGTAGTATTACGATTTTATTAGTAAAAAAAAGATTGTCACTAAACCAAAGTCTGCACATTTTTATGATAAATAAACATCATTTCACAAAAATATCACTCATATTATATCTATTTAATTGATAAACAACTTAAAGACAACACCAAGCTTTATCATTTTTTCATTTTTATTTTGTAATTAAAAGATTTTTCTTAGTGTTATTTTAAATGATGTTTTAATCAATAAAATATCTAAAATAATAGAACTAAATCGTAAATGCCTTTACTTGTTATAACCAGTATAACCTGTACACTGAATATAATATTCAACACTTGAGCATGATTCATTATCATTTGTATCCGAGGATAATAGTGTATTATTGCAATTACAGAAAGTAAATTCGTGCAACTGCCTATTGTTTGGTTACAATAGTTGGCTAAATCACTTTCGATCCACGGTTGAAGGCTAATTTGTTCATATCACTTTTGTACCGGGGGTTAGCAGGTAGATTTCGGGACCAGCCGAAACATCGCTTTTGTTCTGCGGATATCTCTCTTGTTCCGTGAGAGCGGGAACTGTACTCTCCCTCCCCCCAAATCCAAACTTTTGCCCTCCTCATAATTCCTTCTTTCATACGGGTTTTAAAACTCGTTAAATTATCATTTTCTTCTTACCAAAAATATCAATAATTTGACTAATTTAACCTAACCTAATATAACCTTACCTATGAAAGAAAGAATTAGGAGTGGAGCGAAATAGAAGATTTTTAGGATTTAGGGGGCTTCTCTCTCGCGGAACAAGACAGATGTCCGCGTAATAAAAGGAATGTTTTGGCTGGCCCCGAACTCTACCTGCTGACCCCAGGTAAAAAGGGGCGAGAAGAAATAAGCCTTCAACCACGGAACAAAAGCGACACACGCCAATTAGGCTACACCAAATATCTTACTTCCCCGTCCTTGAATTTCAGTAGCAGCCGAGTGTAGTGTTTGCTACCTGGCATCAGCACCTTTTGCATTACAAGCTCATACGGTTGGTTTCCTCCGTTGCCATTTAGCTCACACGAGTACGTGTCTATAGCCTGGGGGAGTTCCAAATCTTCCGACCTTCTCATTACTAATGAATAACAAACTTAGGTTATTTAAAAACTAAAGAATAACAAAGTTCATTCAGGCTTAAGCTGGATTTTAAAAATTACATTGAATTTATCGGTTGTAATATTGGGCAGTATTTTAATAGGGTAGTAATTCAAACACTAGTTTTAAACTGGATAAGGTAAAATTGAGTAAGAACTATTGGTATACTTGCAGTTACTTAGCATAGGGGGAACATGTAACCTCATATTCGTTTTAGTTTTTTTACATTAGTTAATTTTTACATTTGAATTTTAAACTGCTTCCTTCAAAAGAATTGGATTTGACTCAATGAAAATGCTAATTGATTGCTCCAGAACAAGTAAAATACTATACATCAGTTACACAATATAAACATACTGTATCTGTAAATAGTTAAAATTTACACAAGTTGAAATTAAATTTTGTTTATATAAAAAAAGGGAGCTATTAATAATATTGCTCACGAACAGTACCTAATAGAAACAAGTAAGATCCCTTATGAGTTTCCTTCACTTGGTTTAAAATATGTTTCTTTTTCTAAATTAAATAACACTCTTATTAAAGTCATTGAAACAGTACTGTACTTACGGGGGGAGAAAGCAGCTCTTTCAAAGTAATATACTGCACGATCTAAAACAAGAACATACACGTAAATTAATTACTTTCAATGTATATTCCTAGCAAGCGTTTTAATTGCATTTCACAGTTACTTTACCTATGTCTGCTTGTGCTGTAAAGATTTTAATTTGAAATTTCACAAATTCAAAAACTGTAACCACTTGTTTTTTCCAAACAAATATTACAAAATTATATATAATGTAGCCACTAAAAAAGCGTTTATACATAAATTAGTATTCATATTTTCATTTACACACTCGCATAATTGATGACATTGATATATGAATGCCGAAACCCACCGGCTCACTCACTAACCCCCTTTCCTCACACATTATAGAGGATCAAGAGACAAATCTTCTTCGTACCTTATACATGTACTAATGGGTGCCAAAAAGGGTTTACAATTTTTTCCGCTTAATCTGATTCATATTTAAAAAAATATTACAATGTGATTGAATATATCAAAAGAAAAGAATAACAAAGATAATTTAATTAAATAAGTTGAACAGGTTGAAATAAGCCGACAAAGTTTTAAATCTGATAAAGTGCCAATTTTAAGTCAGCATATAAATACAAGTTGACTCATATAGTTTGAGTATTTTTTTATGTAAAGCAGCGTCCTATACACGCATGGAATAACCTGGGATATTTAATCACTTAATGTACCTGAATTAAAAGAAATATAGTCAATTGTATTAAATTAGGCGGCAGTATAGTTAAGTTTTGATTCTAAAATTATGATTGGATATGTGACCATTGGATGCAGAATATGTGATTAACCACATTATTTTTTCTTGTCCTCTTTTTGTTGCGAAACACAGGAATAGGGGCAAGTATAACATATATAACTTTTGAGCTAAACGGTAAAATGATTACAAATTTTGCTGTGCTAGTAAATTTCATAAATAATACAGTCATATTTTTGTATATTTTAAATTATTTTTATGTTTACTTACATATTGATAGGTCCAAATAAGCAAGCCCGATGTCGATCTTCTCCTTTATTACTAGAAATAAAATTAAGATATAAATACCTCCGCCTCAGCAAACGTGCAGATTAGGTGAATTTACATTTGACAGATTGGATTTTCATTGCGATATTTTCTTATAATTCTTACATCTATTCTCTATTTTAATAAATTTAGATTAATACGTACCGGGTCTAGGTCTTTCCGTGCCATTTACAAAATCTCCTAAAAATCTCAGATTTGATGAAAAAGCTTTTAAAAATTTTCAATTAGAATTTAAAATTTCATTTTTAACGTCACCGATTCAAAATGCTGGAATATTAAATATCAGAAATATTACAATTTCTTGTTCGTAAAATAAGAAAAAAATGAGGTAGAGTTTATCAAGGTGCCAATATATAAATTTAATTTGATATAGTTTTATATAAAAATAGGTAGCTACCCTAATAAATTTTATATGAGCTAAAATTACAGTTTTTTAATAACAGTCAAATCATTCAATATTTAGTATAAGTCTGTTCTATAATGAATTATAAACCTGAATTATCAGTCTGTTCCGAACTGAGATTATTCATTAAAGTGGAACTTTTAATACATTTCCAACTATATAACAACAAAACTTATCTATGTGTCATCTTTTATATTAATAAACCCTAAAACTGTATATAAGTTAGTAAATATGCTCTAGTGTGAAATAGACAAATATTATAAGTTACCTTCCTCCTTTGCCGAAATTCCATTTGAAGATGAGAAACTATAACAAAAACAAAAATTGATTACATTTTGTAAAGCTGTCGTGCGTGGAAATGTTGTTTTATAGTTAAAATGTTGCACTAAATAATCCGAGATTCCACTAAATAAGTGTGAATGAAGCATACACAATTTTATAAAAAATTAGCAACAAAAAATGTAAACTATCACTTTTAGTTTTATGTTCAATGCAATATAATGGTTGGTTTACTACTGTATTTTAAAAACCACATACCAACAGTTACATGGATTTATGAAACAATAATCTTAAAAAATGACTTAAATGTTTTTATTAACATACTAACCGGTAGAAGAAAATTGAAGAGAACCATGATCGAATAAAACGACGACGGTGAGAGAGCTCCAACAAGTACAGAAAAAATTACGCGTACATTCAGATAATTGGTATTATTAGCCTGCTCTACCAGCACATATTTTCTATATATTTGGTAAACTAATTAAGGCAACCATCTGAAAAATTAGGCTGTAATTGTAATGCTAACACCACTAACATATACTATTTTTTTTTGTAAAATGTAAATGTTTTAAGTAATAACTACTGCTTTGGCGTGGCGTATGAATTAGAAAATGTTAGTTCTCAGAAGTTGATTGAGAAAAAATCTATTGTTACAGGAGGCAACCGCTTTGCACACACAAATAAAACCTTATTTTACATTTTTGGTACCTTACGTCTTAAAAGTACCTGAAAATATAACTTTTACCGCCTTAGGTAATAAAAAGGTATATTTCCAACCATCCTAAAATCTACAAAAAAGTTCAATTGGAGGGAGAGTCTACTAAAGGATTATATTACAGAATGTCTCATTATTTGGGTCACGTGAGATGTCACAAGAGTCTAGATGAAACTATATTATAAGTTCATTACTAGTGGTAACGACAGCGGCCTGATAAAAACCAAATATATGACTTGAATAAGGACTGAAGGCTCATCGCCAACTATATGACTTGAATAAGGTAAAGAGTCTATCAAAGCCATTTATACGACTTCACTAAGGACAGAGAGCTGATATAAGCCAACTATATGACTTGACTGAGAACAGGAGCCTGATAAAAGCAAGCTATAAGACTTGACTAAGGACAAGAGTCTGATCAAAGCCAACTATACGACTTCACTACAGACAAGAGTCTGATCAAAGCCAACTATACTACTTCACTAAGGACAAGAGTCTGATCAAAGCCAACTATACGACTTCACTAAGGACAAGAGTCTGATCAAAGCCAACTATACTACTTCACTAAGGACAAGAGTCTGATCAAAGCCAACTATACTACTTCACTAAGGACAAGAGTCTGATCAAAGCCAACTATACTACTTCACTAAAGACAGGAGTCTGATCAAAGCCAACTATACGACTTCACTACAGACAAGAGTCTGATCAAAGCTAACTATACTACTTCACTAAGGACAAGAGTCTGATCAAAGCCAACTATACTACTTCACTAAGCACAAGAGTCTGATCAAAGCCAACTATACGACTTCACTACAGACAAGAGTCTGATCAAAGCCAACTATACTACTTCACTAAGGACAAGAGTCTGATCAAAGCCAACTATACGACTTCACTACAGACAAGAGTCTGATCAAAGCCAACTATACTACTTCACTAAGGACAAGAGTCTGATCAAAGCCAACTATACTACTTCACTACAGACAAGAGTCTGATCAAAGCCAACTATACTACTTCACTAAGGACAAGAGTCTGATCAAAGCCAACTATACGACTTCACTAAGGACAAGAGTCTGATCAAAGCCAACTATACTACTTCACTAAGGACAAGAGTCTGATCAAAGCCAACTATACTACTTCACTAAGGACAAGAGTCTGATCAAAGGCAACTATACTACTTCACTACAGACAAGAGTCTGATCAAAGCCAACTATACTACTTCACTAAGGACAAGAGTCTGATCAAAGCCAACTATACTACTTCACTAAGGACAAGAGTCTGATCAAAGCCAAATATACGACGTGACTAAGGACATGATACAGATTAAATCCAACTTTACGATTGAACTAAGTACAGGGGTTTTATGAAATAAAATGAAAATTATTCTTCATTGAGGCAAACTTAGGACCTTCTCGGTCCTTTCTTACAGTTGACCTCTAGCTGTGATCAAAGCCAACTGTACGTCTTAAATTACTGAACATGTTACTAACAGTATGAGAACTGGCAAAAATATACCTTTAGTGTACATGCCAGTGGGAATTTATGTGCATGAATCACGAATAATCTTGGAGAATAATGTTTGGTCCTCTCTAATGTTTGGTGGATTTGATGTGATCAGACCAGTTGAACTTTCGCCGTATCCCAGAAGGCTGTCTTCGCACTTGATGATAATGTTTAATTAGCTATTAACAATGTATTCAAATCAAACCATTCTACAACATTGGATTGGCCAAATAATTACGTTAATATTTTAAACATAAAATTGAAAACAAGTTCAACACGACGATGAAATATATGGTATGGATTTTTATAGATCTAGACAATGTACTATTTGTGTATTATACAATGTTATCCAAACAACCTTCTTAAAACCCCTGAGAATTTTTGATTAAACTATTAGATTATATTACGAATATCAATGATTATTCGGAAATACCACTGTGACTGGCCAAAGAATTTACCAGTTATCAAACGCGCACAGTGTGGCACGGCTAGCTATTTTTATAGATATTTTTTTCATTGATGTTTTGGACAATAACCACGTTTTAGACAATTATCAATGTTTTTTCGTTACTAAATTGTCATTAGAATAATGCAATTCACGTAATAAGCCATCAATTACATTATTATAACAGTTTGGTTACAAAAACCATATTAATACAGGGCAATTTCAAAATATTTGTAGACACATCTCAGTCGTTTCTAAATTATAAATTTATTGTCCGGACTAAAGCTAATTTAAACTATACATGTGTATTATAAATATGTAAAATAATTGGTAAATTTTCTTTTTCTTTAGTGTGTAAAATAAAGGCATGACAGAAAATGTTTGTTCTAAACTTGACTTATAGAATTAAAGATCCAATGATTTAGCAAAATAATTACACGATACAATTAAATAAAACTTTTCTATTTTGGGAGCAGTTCCAAAGAATTACAAACCGTAGATCATACAATGAGCTATTTTCAATAATAATTAATATATATTTTGTGTAAAATAATATGTCTGCCATTTCTGATGGTAAGGAAGAAAAAAATCACATTATGTATAATTACAAACAAAAAATATGTATTTTTTTAAAACAAGTTCATATTCACCAAGAGCATCTAAATGATAACAAAGTTTCCTGAATGGTAAAACAGAGATATGGAATATTTGTGTGTTCCCTCAAAGGATAAGTTGGATTTGTTAGCCTCAGAGAGATAACGATCTCTCGTCCAAAATACTTGAGGTGGCCCACGTAGGTTTCTGTTTGATGTGTCCAATATTAGGTCTTCGGAAAATCAATAAGTGGACGGAATGTTACAAAGAAATATTACAATTATAACGTTTGTTAAAATAGTTAAATCCCACTTGGAAATAGTAACATTTTTGGAAATAGTAATTAAACACATGACAACCTCTGTTTTAAATAATTTACCTGCAAACACATGAAGGGTAACTGTTAAATACTTTGGGTACCGTAGCGAGCTGTTCTAGTGGTAGAAAGCGGGGCTTCGGATCCTGCAGGTCCCGGGTTCAAATCCTCGTGACCCACTAGGCCCTGAAGTAATGTGGTACGTAATACAGGTCCAGACTAAACCCTAGCATTGTGGGTTTTTAAATCGGGACATAGGATAAACGTCATATACTCTGCTAGTTTAGTTATTTTACTTTTAATACCAAGCAGAGTAAAATAGTACAACCTCATTTTGGCTTTACTTGATGTCTGTTGTCGTTAACCTAGCTAATTTTTACATATATTTTTCCAATTCCTCTTGAGCACGCTATTAGTTACTGTATGTTGTTATTAGTATGTGTTATTACTGTAGGTTATTAACATCTTAAAATACTCCCATATAAACCAAATTAAAATATTTATAGTTTTAATCGTTGTATTCCCTATGTTATATTTAATACCTAAGCTATTAATAAGCAGCATTAGCTTTAACTTTTACCTAGAAGTTAAATCATGCTCGTTCCACAAACTTAGTTCATAAGCCTTCGAAAGTTCAAATGACATTTCACACTATCATATACAACGATTACGAGTGTATTTCGCCATCAGTGTGTGCTGTAAAGTATTCATGGTGGAACTTCCACCATTTTAAGTATTGTTACATGGATTTACTATGGTGGTTTGCAAAAAAAGCTCTATATTGTACTCCAGAACTAGTAAGTGGTGGGCTTCTCAGTGGATATTCTACGACTATACTTATAAGTTCACACTAAGGAATATTAACAAACAATAAAACAACATACTAACGTATATTACCATTTTCGTTTATTGATTGTTCATAATGTTAATATGGGTACTGACAAAACTGTATTATTAAATTCACTTAACATTTTACTATCAATTGCTATTGGATTTATTGATTTAAAATGTCTTTATTAGACTGATATCCTTTGTGACAGTTAGAAGCTCAGTACACAAAGCATTACATCAGCCAATATTTTGAGGGGCTGGCGGAAGTCCTTATTCTGCACTGCTCCGCCGGAAATCATTGTCTTGGGATGTCCACTTCCGCTCCCTCGTTACAACTGTTGCCACATTGTTGGACGGCCAGCCTTTGAATTTAGTAATTTTAAGGATTCCATGATACAAGGACAGTTTAGTTTCGTATCAGACCATAGTTTCACTTGCACAAAAGTTCAAGATTATTTGGCCATTACTATTTTCACCATGTAAGAAATAATACAATAAAAATAGTATTTAAAATGATAATATTCATAATATTAATATCAATAAGCCAAAGATGAGCATAGAAAAATATATTTTTTTTAAATACTGTAGCTTTATGATTTTATTTAAAAAAATATGCTCACTTGAAAGTCTGTTAAAGACATTAGATTCGAAAGAGCCTTACAACGTTCCGTAGTGTAGAAATAAAATTGATTAATTGATAAAGATGTCATATAAAATCTTTGACTAAAAAGCCCTTATGGTTTATGTTCTTGTTATATTTTACATACAAAATATGGGTTGAAACAGGACTTGAATCCACTCTTGTATTAAGCTTCTTATTTCAAATTTGTGGAAATAGTAAAAGAAGTACAAAATAAGTGTAGCTCTGTGTTAATTTTTAGCCCTTATAAGTAATGTGAAGACATATAGAAATATCAATTCCGTATATCCAGTAGAAGCTACGGATGATAAACATATTAATGTATCAATTATTATTTACCTGATCCAGGTTCATTCATCTTGCTTGTAGACGTAGGACCTGTAGTTTAGGGCAAAATAAGAG